TGGGGTCACCCCCCATTTTGGGGGTCCGGGGGTGTCCCTGACCGCCCGTCCCGTCCCAGGCTGAGCCCGTACGAGTGGTACAACCCCCACCCGTGCCTGCGGGAGCGGCACAACCTGGTGGAGAACCAGTACACGCTGGGGAACAGCCTGTGGTTCCCGGTGGGGGGGTTCCTGCAGCAGGGCGCCGAGGTCCTGCCGCGCGCCCTCTCCACCCGCTGCGTCAGCGGCGTCTGGTGAGACCCCGGGGGGGGGGAAAACGCGGCCCCCGCGGGGGGTCCCGGGGTCGGGGGAACCCCCCCTTCCCCCTCTGAGCCGGGGCCGTCCCGCCAGGTGGGCCTTCACCCTCATCATCATCTCGTCGTACACGGCCAACCTGGCGGCGTTCCTCACCGTGCAGCGCATGGAGGTGCCCGTCGAGTCGGCCGACGACTTGGCCGACCAGACCAACATCGAGTACGGCACCATCCACGCCGGCTCCACCATGACCTTCTTCCAGGTGAGGGCGGCGGGGGCGACCCGACCGAACAACCAATCGACCAACCCAACTGCCCAACCAACCCAACTGCCCAACCAACCAATCAACCAACCCAACTGACCCAACCAACCCAACTGGCCCAACCAACCCAACTGACCCAACCAACCAATCAACCCAACTGACCCAACCAACCCAACTGACCCAACCAACCCAAGTGACCCAACCAACCAATCAACCAACCCAACTGACCCAACGATCCAATTGACCAACCCAACTGACCCAACCAACCAATCAACCAACCCAACTGACCCAACCAACCAATCAACCAACCCAACTGACCCAACACAACGGCACCAACCACCCCACCCTAAACACCTCCAGTCCAACCCAACCCGGGTCAACTCAACGCAACCCAACCCAACCCGGGTGAAACCAACCCAACCCAACCTGGGTCAACCCAACTCACCCAACCCAACCAACGTGGACCAACCCAACCCAACCTGGGTCAACTACCCAACCCAACCCAAGTGGAACCGGCCCCACCCAACCCGGGTCAACCCAACTCACCCAACCCAACTCAATCAACTCAATCAAACCCAACCCAACCCAACCCAACCCCCCCAAGCCGACCGAAGCCGGGTTCACCCAACCCAACCCACCCCCCCCCCGCCCCCCCGCCCCCCCCCCAAGCCCGTGTTCCCCCCCGCCGCCCCCGGCAGAACTCGCGCTACCAGACCTACCAGCGGATGTGGAACTACATGCAGTCCAAGCAGCCGAGCGTCTTCGTCAAGAGCACGGAGGAGGGGATCGCGCGCGTCCTCAACTCCAAGTACGCCTTCCTGCTGGAGTCCACCATGAACGAGTACCACCGGCGCCACAACTGCAACCTCACGCAGATCGGGGGCCTGCTGGACACCAAGGGCTACGGCATCGGGATGCCGCTCGGTACCGCGGGGCGAGGGGGACGGGAGGGGTGGGAACGAC